TGACACAGAGAGAGAGAGAGAGAGAACACAAGCAGTCAGAGTGGCCGGCAGAGGGAGAGAGAGAAGCAGGCTCTCCGCTGAGCAAGGAGCCCAATGTGGGACTCGATCCTAGGACCCTGGGATCATGACCCGAGCTGAAGACAGACGCTTAATGAACTGAGCCACCCAGGCGTCCCAAAACCAAAGGATTTTTAAAGATAGATTTTCTCCTCTACCTTCTGGTTTCTTGAATAGCTTTTCTTGTAATAGATGCTGACATATCTTTGTTCGGTTAATGTTCCTTGTCCTGGAAGGAACAAGACGTGTAGGAGGGAGAGCTTTGTTCTACCTCCCAATGATGCTGCTTTTTGCAGACCAAACAGTTGATTTGACTGCTGTGTGCAGATACCTTCGGGAACTGATACTGACTTTCAAGGTAACAGACAAGCCCTTTTCTTGGCAAAGAGTTTTTGTCCCTCTGCCAGTTCAAATGAGGTTCCCCTTTTGTTCTATGCAATAACAAGCTGCCTCTGCTACTTTCTCTGGGTTCATCACAGACAAGGCCCAACTGTTTGATATATATCAGCTGAAAGATAAACAAAAGCCCAGACCTAAATCTCAAATAACAAGAGGAAGAAGGACGTCTCCTTATCCACCAATCTCTTATCAAGTGCCTGTTGGGTCTTAGAATGGACTCTGACCAAGCACTTAGGGGACTGAGGCCTTATTGCACAGTTTACGATACACGATATTGAAATCCTATAGTTGTTGGTGGATATGAAGATGTACCTACAATATTTGTAAAATCATCAAGGTGATCACTCTCTCAGTATGCTAGCTAGACCATGAAGACTGGTCCCATAGGCAGTAGGTCTTGCATGTGACACACATGTAAACTGTGCATTTGTAGGAAATTACACCTATTACCAGTAGATATCACCCCATTTAAAAAAAAAAAAAAATCTCCGCCTCTTAGAATTACTTGTTGTTGAAGTGTTTTGAGAAGATTCACTTTAACCATATTATTGTGCTGTCTGCTAATCTCCTATCTCGTGAGTAATTATAGCCTTTAACTTTATTTTTTTTTAATTTTTTTAAAATTTTAATTCCAGTATAGTTAACATACAGTATTCATTTCCCCAGGCTAGTTGACCATACACCACACACTAAGCTTTGGACTTTCTGTGTCGAAACAAACCTCTTTTTGGTGCTGGCCAACTAGCTGTTAACAGTATGCCTGCACACAGATAACTTCTTATGGAAGGGCCAGTAAAAAGCCTATTAGAAGCAGGTAATTCTGATTTTGGTGTTTTGTTTTTTTTAAGAGTTTACTTATTTATTTATTTATTTATTTATTTGAGAGAGAGAGAGAAAGCCAGAGACAGATCAAGAGCAGAGGGGGAGTGGGAAGGGAATGGGCAGAGGGAGCAGGAAAAGCAGACTCCCCATTGAGCAGGGAGCCTAACGTGGGACTTGATCCCAGGACCCTGAGATCATAACCTGAGCTGAAGGCAGAGGCTTAAGTGACTGATTTTAAACAAGAGTCACAGGTCAGGATTCCAAATGAAATTTTAGTATGCCCTAATTTGGAGAATTTTGTGAAATTACAGATAATAGTGTTTATAAAGTACCTACTATAATGTCTATCTAAGTTGCAGTTGACTTTGTCATTTGACATTTTCCATTCTTTGGTTTGCCATATGAATTTAAGGTTTAGTCACCTGTCATTAATCTTAAACAAAGACATGCCATTCTTCCTTTAATTCTAGCAAAGTCCTGGGTGTTTGTTTTCTTTTCTCCTTTTCATTAGGACACTCAGGAATGTGTGAGATAAGTGGTCGTAAAGAGAGTCATGAATCATTGATTTGCTTTTAGATAAAAAACACCTGAATCTTCCTAAATCTGTAAAGTTTTGTTCAGAGACATACAGAGGTTCAGATTCTATTTTTTTCCACCATTTACAAGTCCTATTACCAGAAAAATTCTTCCTCATATCAAGCATAAGTAACCAATCAAGCTGGTGTTCCCCCCATTCTGGCTCATGGAAGGTGAAGAGTTCCAAAATAATTCTGCTTTTGTGTGAGAAGTTTATATTCCCCACTTCTCCCTTCTTCTGAGGCCAGGTTACCAACCTCCAACCCAAGTCCAAGGATCTGGTTTTTCAATTTCAGTGTACAACAGCATACATATTTTAGTTGGCTAGATGTTGCTGATGTATTAACCCAGACTTTGGCTAGATTATACCAAGAGAAGTAAAACCATCATCTAATTGAGTTGAAGTCATAGATACTAAATTAAACATTTCTAATATATTCATTGGTAACTCTGATAATCAATTTTTATTGAGTAGTGTGTATGCTCATTCTCTTTTACTTTTCAATAAGATAATTGTTGCCATGTATAAATATTTGATACTATTTCATTTATAATTGTGGGATATTTTCCATATTAAACCTCTTTTGGGCTACCTATAGGAAATAGTTATAAATAAATATTTCTCAGAATTTGGGAGATAAATTGTAAAAGCTTCCATTCTGCCTAAGATTAGCCATGGTAATTCTCTGATTCCCACAAACTTAAGTACTAGCTATTGAAAAAAAAATTTTAGTACCTTACGATAGATATATCACTTTCATAATTACTGCTTATTTTCAGAGTGGTACAATAACAAATTCCTTTCTGACTAGGGACTTCTATTCATGGATGTAGTGCTATAAAATCATCCACCCTTATCGTTCATATTTCTGGGCAGCTGAGTAAGGTAGGAACTATTTTTGATATGCAGGAGCAAATACTGAAGCAGTGGGGTTGCCCTTTCTGTCAACAAAGGTATCAAGTGCCAGAAAACCCTGATAAGTCCCATTTCAAGCAAGTAGAGTCTGGATAATACCAAACTACAAGACAAGAGTCCGCGCCTGTGAACTGGCAGTCCCGCCAAAGCGAATTACCATTCGCACCCAAAATAAACGCCCTGAAGTTTAACAAAGCTAGGTCATCCATCTGCAAGGTATGTGGCGGCTTTAGCTAGTGAGAAACCTTTTGGTTTGTCAAAGCAATTTTAAACTACTGCCATTTCTCCAAGCCAGAGGTTGAAAAGGTCAAGGGGAAGCTTTAAAACATGTGATAACGTTGTCTTGGAGTTGGGAGACATCTGGTATTTGCTAAGCAAATGGCGGAGTGAATGAACGCTGATGAGGTGTGCTCTAGTCTGCAGCCGCCCCTGAGAACAGAATGAAGAACGGCTCTCCCATTCTGACTCTACTGGGAGAAGTGACAAACTCTTTGGACCTCTGTTTCTCCATGTGTAAAAGAAGATGACTGGAAAAGATGCCTTTTCATTTTCTGTCAGGCTTCTTCAGAGAATAGATACAGGATATTGGTTGAAATGATCATTTCTTGAGAAAAAAGCGATAATAAAAATGGTTTGATTTATAGTTTCTAAACCCACGCATTATCTTTTTTTAATGGACGAAGTGTTGGTTTTTCAGGTACAGTAAAAATTAAGGAGGTAAATCTTTAGTTGGAATAGTCAAATGAAAACCAAAGTCACAGAAAGGATTTTGTTAAAATTAAAAATTCATTGTATCAATCCAGAAAACATTAAATTGTTAGTGTATTCCCTGGTTTTATATATATTAGTCTCATCTCTTCTAGTATTACATTGAATCATGAAATTGCATTTCTGTGGGTTAAAAATAGTATTTTTCATCAAGTTCGTCCTATAGATGTGATTTTCATGGGAGCAGGGTACAATGCTGTGTGTTCCTTTTTTCTTCCCATTACTTCTTGATACCATGCTGTGTACATTTGTTCTCTTATACAGTGTGTATTCAAAGCAGTATTTTGGGGCAGAAAGGCTTTTTGAAATCACCTAATGCAACTTATTATTTTAAAGATGAAGAAAATAAGACCCAAAAGTTCTCAGAATTGTAGTTCTTTTGCTGTTCAGAATGACACAGACATTATAAACAAATACTTTGAATACTCTGCCAGCAAAGAAACCAAACAAACAAACTGATCTGATAAATTTTATAGGAATAGTTCTTAGCAATTAAAGTTAACAAAAGGGAATAAGTAAAGGTGGTTCTCAAAATTCTAAAAATCTGAATGTGCTATTCTTTTACCATTTTTGTTGACAGAAGTATTAACATTTTTGGAGGAAAATTTTTTTAATTGTTGATGCTAACAAAACCTTAATCCAAAGGAACATAGTAATAATAATAATACTAGAATATAAACATCTGAATTTGAAATTTGATCCCCAAATAAATTACTTTGCTATATTTGATAAGTTTCAATCCTCTATAAGGAAGCGACCTCCACTTGTAGATGTAGTTACTGTTTATAGAAAGGTGTCATGGCCTAGCAAAATTAGAAATAGACTAAGTGCAAAGATATTTATAGGTCATGCTTTTGACTTAGGTCTTCCACACTGTGGAACTTCGCATTCTTGTCACATCTCTCTGCCATTTTATAGAGTCATCACATTTTAGAACATCTGGTTTGATATTTGTCAGTGATTGTTTACACTGAAAGCTACAAAACCCCAAAATAATAGAGTCCAACATCATGTCTTTACAAATGAGGAAACAGTCCCAGAGAATTTAAGTCACTTTAAGTTATTTAGAGTTAAGACACAGAACAGGTTGGTACTTGGACATCTAGTATACCACTATGTCGAATGTGCCGTTTGTTCTTTTAGTTGTGAAGTGTTTGCTTCATATCTACCCTCTCAAAAACTGATTGCAGATTAAGTAAATGATGCTGTGACCTTGGTGCTTGGAGTGAAGTAGACAGAAAGCTTTTATTGACACACTGACATGTTCCAGGAATATAGTTAGAGATTGTGTCCAGATTTTATGACCATCAATTGATAATGAACTGATCCCGTGTCTGCCCCACTTTTACCAATTTGTCAGTTTACCAAACACTTGGAAGAAGCATCAATCAAGTAAAACTTTAAAGCAAAGGCCTATTAGATACACAGCTTAAATATTATGGTTATTTGTTTTTCCTGATAGAAATATGAGCTCAGCTGGGCCTGACGGGAGGAAGGTGATGAGAAGGTGTGATGGGCTGATCGACTCGCTGGTCCATTATGTCAGAGGAACCATTGCAGACTACCAGCCAGACGACAAGGTGATCCGTGTATTAAATATCTCTTGTTTGAATTACTTACTTTGTCTTACTAGGATACTTCGGAAGATTCTCAAAGTATTCTCTTTGGGTTTAGATTTATTCATTAGCTCACTTGCTAAGCTTAAGGTTTCCCATCCGTACTTAGCAATATTAAAAGTCTACCTACCCCCATTTTTCTGTCTACTTTCCAGACCCAAATTTACAACTACCTGTTTAACAACTCTGTGTAGATATTTCAAAGGAGCCCAAGTGCTCCATGTGCAATAATGTCATCTATTCCTTTATTCCCAAACTTGTTCCATGTCTGAATAATCCTTTTTAATAATTATCCTCACCCACGAAATGAAAGAAGAAACCTGAGTAATCTGACTACCTTCCTTGCTTCATGTCCTTTAGCCATCAAGCAGCAAACCACGTGTATTCCACCTCAGAAATGGCCCCCAGTTGGTCTGCTCCCCTGCCCCCTTGTGCGGTTCCTACTGTCCTGGTTTGTGCATCTTTCATACTTACCATGCAGTAGCCTCCTAACTGGTCCTGCAAACAATATCTTCTGTTTTCCACCTCCATGTGGCTACTAAGTTATGTATCTTAAAATAGGGAATCGTGTGAACACACTCTTAAAAATAAACTAGAAAGGCTGTCCAGTGGTTTAAGAAATTCAGCCTCTACTCCTTAGCATTGTGCTCATAACCATTCGTGATCTAGCCATCCTCTTTCCACTTCCCCGGACACAGTCCAAGCACACCCCACTGCATCCTTTAAACTGTGAAAGCTTAATACATCCTGTGGTATCACACCTGCAAAGGGATGTCTGTATGTGTATGATCAAGATTCATGTCCTGTTTTCTCAGGCCACAGAGAACTGTGTGTGCATTCTTCATAACCTCTCCTACCAGCTGGAGACAGAGCTCCCAGACAGATATGCCCAGAGTATCTATATTCAAAACCGGACTATCCAGACTGACAACAACAAAAGTATTGGGTGTTTTGGCAGTCGAAGCAGGAAAATAAAAGAGGTATATTGGGAGGACTTTGAAAGAAAAAGTGTTTATCTGTGTATTTCTGAGTACTTAGTGTATGTCAGGCACTCTTTTAAGTTGTTTTAATCCTTATATCAACCCTACGAGGTGTGTATTATTAATATCATTTACTGACAAGGAAACAGAAGTACAGAATGGCTAATTAATTTTCCCCCAAAAAATCCAGGAAATTGTAATAGAGGGGATGGAATTTAATCCCAGGCGGTCTGGCTCCAGATTTGCCTCGTTAGCCACTATATCATACTACTGTATGCTTTGTAAGTTAGGAAATACGCTTAATACAGCATAGCCAATGGTGTATAAATCGTTTAACTTTAAAAGCAACCCTGATGTTTGGCTCTTGGTAGCCTAAAAGTATATCCATACAAAGGAATACTGTCCCTACTGGCATTTCATGAAAGCTGGAAGAATGTAACCCCTGCTATTCCTCAGACTATCATGGTACATATTTGTGAACTTGGAGAACAACTGGTAAATTTAGAATGCTGATGCTATCCCAGACAACTTTCCAAGACTGAGGGAAGAGGCCTGTTTTTCTTATCTCCACAGTGGTTGTGACTAAGTAAGCTTTTACCTTAACAGCAGCCTGAAAACGATTCTAGAACAGTCTATGCTTCATTCTCGAGTTTTCTCTCACTATGAAATGTAAAGTTGGGGTGTTGTTAAGAAGAAACAGACATTATGAGCTAAAAGTTAACTAACTGGAAGTCATACACGTTTGCTTTTTCGTTTCCTTATCAGGGGCTTGTTATTAGGGAAATTGTCAGTCTCTCCAGACAAGATGGTATTTCTGTTCCCTTAGTTTGGGCATGGAATTGTAGAAATCACTTGAAGGCATTAATTCTGGATTTCACTGTGTATATGGTTAGCAATATCAGGACATGCCGATGCCAGAAGAAAAGAGCAACCCGAAGGGTGTGGAATGGCTGTGGCATTCCATTGTGATACGGATGTATTTGTCCTTGATCGCAAAGAGTGTCCGAAACTACACTCAGGAAGCGTCTTTGGGAGCTCTGCAGAATCTCACAGCAGGAAGTGGACCAGTGAGTATCACTCCTATTCTTCTGCTTTTTAAAAATAATGGCATTGTAGGACATACCTACATTAGGTTCAGAGATGAGACAGTGAAGTAAGAACAAGATTTTTCTCTTCTGTCAAGACAGTTCTCAGTAATTGCCAGCAAGGTGTCCTGCTTTGTAGGGACTTTCAGCCTCAATTTCTGCAGACCCAAGTAAGGCTGTGAGTGGAAGACTCCTAGATACTTATATTAGAGCTTTTTCAGTTATGAGTCTCAGAATCCTACCTACACTGCCCTGGGCAAAAAAGAGAAATGTCTTGGCTCGTTTAACTGGAAAGTCAAGGTGGGTCTTCTTTCTGTCATGGTGGGTAGGTGCCCAGAAATTGTAATTATAACTCTATCTCTGGGTTCCCTCTTCCACTTTTTTGTTTTCAAAGGCTCTTCTCATATGACAGCAAAGGCCACCAATGATTTCAGACTTATATTTTATCCACCCAATGTCCCCACAGTAAAGAAACTACTATTTTCTCAATAGCTCCATTTGGAACTCAAGAAATGAGTCTCACTTGCCCATATCTGAACCAGTACCTGTGGCTAGTAGCCTGTGATGTTGTGACTAGCCAGGTCTGGGTGATGGGCCCACCTATGAATTTCAGGGGCATGGGTTTGAACAGGCGGGCTCACTGCCACGGGGACTACATGGACTGAAATGCTAAAGTAGCGACTCATTAGCAGAAGAAGAATGAGTGCTGGCCAGGCAAAAACAACAGATGTCCACCGTGTATGGAGTAGGAAAGGACATCTGTGCTTTTACGTCCCAGAAATTCAACAGAAAATAAAGAGCTGCTTCTCTTCCTGAAGCGCTTACTTTATACCAGCAAAGTCAAAATACATAAAACAGTAAAAGCTTATTCCCCACCCCAGGTATTTTACTTCTTATTACACAGTTTAGTTACTTGAACTAAGCTTGTATTCTTTGTCTTAATCATGAAGTTATTATAATAAGTCCCCCCCCACACAAAACTGTTCATTTTATGTCCAGTTTCCAATTATCCATCCCCGTAGAAAGATTACCCTTTGTGGATAACAAAAATATTATTTATTCTTAAGAAACCATATTCATGGGGCGCCTCGGTGGCTCAGTCAGTTAAGCATCTGCCTTAGGCTCAGGCCTTGGGTTAGATCCCAGGGTCCTGGAATCAAGCCCCGCATCGGGCTCCCTGCTTGGTGAGAAGCCTGCTTCTCCCTCTCCCTCTCCCTCTCCCACTCCCCCTGCTTGTGTTTCCTCTCTCACTGTCTCTCTCTCTGTGTCAAATAAATAAACAAAATCTTAGAAAAAAAGAAAGAAAGAAGCCATATTTGTTCTTTAATTAATGTGTTTACACAGAAGCTTGCTCTATTTTGAACAAAATTGTGAAATACTAAAACCAGTATTTCTCTTACCTTGGCACTGTGATTAAGAATATGAACAAACTCAGGGCACCTGCTGACTCATTCAGTAGAGCATGGGACTCTTGATCTCAGACTTGTAAGTTTGAGCCCCATGTTGGGTGTAGAGATTACTTAAAAATAAAATCTTAAAAAAAATAAAACCAAACTATAAACTCTTTGATTTTCTGCAAAATTTACTTGTACACAAAAAGGAAAGAACAAGAAACTACCAGGGAGCCCTGAATGATACATAATCATTTTACCTTTCCATCTTCCCATGCGAGGTTTCCATTTCTTTCACTTTCCCAAACTACAGAAACCCTCTCATTAACTCCCAGCCAACTTAAAAAAAAATGTTAGGAATTAGCGTGGTGTGCACGTGTGTGTGTGCATATCTGAGTTCCCTGTGCTCCAAGTAGGGTTCAGTATGAGCTAAACCTTTAAGCCTGGATTTTAGCCCTCTTTCACTCCAAGAGCTCTCATGGAATCCAAGCAGTCCAGAGATGTTTCCACATTCCCGAGAATAGATACAGAAATATTGTGCCACACAAGTTCTGAATATATTAGTTTATTACCTAGATCTTAAGTTCCTTCATTCATCTTTTGGGCATCTACTATATAGCAGGTACTAGCCTAATGCTAAGTATGTAGCAATGAAAAAGACAAAATCCCTGTATTTGATAATAATCCAACGATAAACAAATAAACAGAATTCTAAGGTACTGGGAGATTCCCAGTCCAAAAGGAATCCAAACATTGGAGATATCCTCATAACTGTTCTAATTACGTCAAGGCATTTTAAATAATACCTAACATTAAACCAGTCTGGTCCCCTGAAAGGAGGCCTACTCTGATCTGGTATTAATCTATACTCAGAGTTGTTAAAGTTTAATTTAACTGGAGATCTATAGGAGAAAATCATTAGCACCATGGGACAGTGATATGTTCTTTTTTTTTTTTTTAATTTAACTTTATTTTTTTTTTCAGTGACCCAAAATTCATTCTTTATGCACCACACCCAATGCTCTATCCAGTACATGCCCTCCTTAATACCCACCACCAGGCTCACCCAACCCCTTACCCGCCTCTCCTCCAAAACCCTCAGTTTGTTTCTCAGAGTCCACAGTCTCTCATGGTTTGTCTCCCCCTCCAATATGTTCTTTTAAGTAACAAAATTCTTTTTATTAAAATTTTGACTTATATATCCTTTCTAATTATTACTTTTCTTAATTTTGTTATACTTAAATATTATAAAAAAATATTTGTTTTTATCATTTTTAAAAAGAACCGTTGAATAGGAAAACATGAAAAGCAAGGCATTTAAAATAGTTTCAGAAAATATCTAGTGAATAACCTTGTGCTCATAACTGAGATATCACTGAATGATTGATGGCCATGTGCCTGAATTGACAAAGAACCTAAACTTAAATGAATAGCTTCCTAAAAGACAGGTTTTATAATTATAAACCTAAAGCATATAGGTTTATATAACCTAAAGTATAAAATTGTGACAGTAATTTCTAGTTAGTAAAAGTATATTTATAAACTTTATTGGTTCAGATATAGTTCAGATAATAAAGAAAGAGAAAGGATTAATTAAATTTACCCATTTAGCAAACTCTGTAAGTACAGTATAAATTAAAAGTATATTATAAATTAAAAGATTAAGGTACAGAAAAAAGAAAGAAAAGGTTAAGGTACAAGCTTTCAATTATAAGTCCCGAGGATGTAAGGCACAGCACGGTGACTATAGTTAGCAATACTATGTTGTATATTTAAAAGTTGCTGAGAGAATATATCTTTTTTTTTTTTTTAAGGATTTTATTTATTTATTTGACAGACAGAGATCACTAGTAGGCAGAGAGGCAGGCAGAGAGAGAGGAGTAAGCAGGCCCCCCGCTGAGCAGAGAGTCCGACGTGGGGCTCAAACCCAGGACCCTGGGATCATGACCTGAGTGGAAGGCAGAGGCTTTAACCCACTGAGCCACCCAGGTGCCCGTGAGAGAATATATCTTAAAAGTTCTCATCACAAGAAGAAAAATTACAATCATGTGTAGTGATGGGTATTAACTAAATTTATTGTGGTAATTATTTGGCAGTATGTAGTTATATCAAATCATTATATTTTACTCCTAAAACTAATACAGTTTTATGTGTCAGTTATATCAATAGAAATAAGTTAAAACACCACATAGTCAAAGTTAAAGGCATTGAAATAAGTACTTTTCAAATTTCTAAAACACTTTAAAAGCATTTAAGTATCTGCTGGAAAAAAAAAAACAAACAATATATCCCTTAGCCTCAGACCTTACTAGAAAGCAAGTTCTAGCATCAATGAGATTTAAATATGAAAGACAAAACAGTAAAGCTCGTGGAAGAATATCCTCATGACCTGGAAGGGGAAGATTTTTCAAAGTGAACGCAAAAAGTACTACTATCAAGTATGTATTTTATAAATTGACTACATTAAAATCAACAACTTACGCTGTTACGCTATCAAAAAACATTGTTAAGACAGTAAGAAGGCAAAACCACAGAGTAGAAAAAGATTTTTGCAAGATACGTAAGTGACAAAGGTTGGTGTCTAGGAAACATAAGAAAACTCATCAAGTTAACAGTCAAAAGCTAACTTAATAGAAAAGCGGGCAAGAGACTTGAACGGGCCCTTCACAAAGAATAATATAGAAATGGCCAATAAACACTTGAAGAGATGCTTAAAACCTCTTTAGTAATCAGGACAATATGAACTAGAAGTACTATTTGCAAATAGCTGACCAACTAATTAATAGTCATTCTCACATATTCCCTAGAGCTGGAATATAAAAAAATCTCTATTTGGTAAATCTCTTTACTTTCCTTTTTGAACAGATTATAAAAACCGTATCACTTTGGACTTTATCATTTCCCTCAGTGAAACAGAATCAATAAGACTAATATGCTGTGCTTTCAATCCTGGTTGATTAAACATCATTTGAGGATCCAGACTTCATTGGGTCTTATATGTTCAATCTTTTTTATACTAGCATCAAAGTGCTTTATTATATATAAGAATATATCATTAGGTGGTATAGTATGATATAGAAAGCAAGATTTTAATTTTAAAAGCATCTTATGTCTTAAAAATTTTAAGAAATCAATATCTTGTGAGTTTTTAATCCATCTTGATCTCCTGAGATGATAGTAAATCTTTGGGAAAACTTGATAACGTATTGTTCATATAGTTCAATTCAGTAAACATTTACATAGGACCTCTCATGTTCTGGGTACCATACAAGGCCCTGAAGGGGAGAAAATAGGTGGATAAGATCTATATCCTCCTTCAAAGGAGCTTATGTTCTAATAAGAGAGATCGCAATTTAGTATAGTTGTAACCCAGAGAATTAGGGAGTAATGATAAGGAAAGAAAGGAAAGTGCATGCCAGGCCATCTGCAGACAACTGAACATCATTCTGGAGACGATGGAGAGTCATTATAGGGCTTAATCCTGAGGTGGAATATAATGAGATCGAATTTTAGGAGGATATTTCTGGTGTAAGCCTTTGAAGCCCAACAGGCATTTTAAAAAGTTGACTGGCAACATTTGGTTCCTAGTGAAGATTAGAGACCATAAATTTGCAGAAATACCATTCCACAACTGCACTATTTACTCTAACAGTGTTTGGTCGCCCGGTATAAAATCAGTTTTGTAGTTTTAATGGATGGGTGGAAATAATCTGGAATGACAGAGAGTTAAGGGTATTGAAAGATAGTTTTTGATGTGTTGGTTCATGTACCTTAGTCTAAATAAGAAAGAAAGGTAAGGCAGAGAGGATTGACAACTTGAGGTGTGGGGAGTAAGGGTTGAGATAAAGGCACTGGAGTTCTTGATGAGGCTGAGGAAGAAATATGGTAGGAGTGAGGGAGAGAGAGCAAAAAAGTACAGGAAGTTGCATTCAGAGTCTAACACTGGAGTTTATGTTTTCAGACTCAAGGTATTTTGGAGGTGAATACAGGTTCTGTATGATCCGTGGAAGTGATTGGCTAATGTATAGGAGAGATTTCTTAGGAAGTTTAGGAACTATGATGTAATTAATGTCCTCATCTACAGTGAACAGGAGATGGAGAGGGCTCTCAGCCAGGCTCTGAAGCCTCCAGTGGATGTTGGGAAAGGACCAGTAGGCCTTGAGATGACAAAGAAAAAGGGCTGGATGACAGGACTCAGAAGAGCAGAGCTTTTGCATGTTTGGGAAGACATTATCTAGACAGGACACTGGGAAGAGAAAGGAATGCTAACCTACCTCTGTACCCAAATCACAGGAGTGGTAGAGAATAAGTAGCCTCCTCTCCGGATGGCTATAGAGGAAAGATTCTTCTCAGATTGGAGCAAATAGTTTAATGGAATGTTCATCAAATTAGTAAAAAACAAAGTGTAACTGGTTTCCAACAAAACATTCTAAAATAATGAGTGTTAAACTTCTTTGGAGTTTTGGACACTTTGAGTATCTAATAAAAGTTACATATCCTTTCCCTGAGAAAGTTTATTATAAACACAAAAATAGGCTTCCTTTTTTTTTTATGAGTTTTTTTTATTTTTAAGTACTCTCTGTACCCAGCGTGGGGCTTGAACTCACAGCCCCAAGATCAAGAGCTGCAGGCTCCACCAGCTGAGCCAACCAGGTGCCCCAATACAAAAATAGTTTTAAGGACCTCCTGTTCCCTCCCTGAAACCCATCCTAGGCCCTATATTAAGAACCCCTGTTCTACAAAGTAGAGTGGTGAATGTAAGGAGAGAGGACTACAGGAGGTGGGGGAAATAAGCAGTGCTTAGATAAACAGAGAAGATAGTCACCCTTAACAATGGTCAAGAATTCTGGGAATATCTGGCAGGTGGCCTCAAGTTAGCTTCAGATACAAATCTATAAAGTTGCAGACACAAACCCCAATATTAGAGGTTTATTGATGCTCGGAAGGTTCTGGTCAGTACTCAGACCCCCTGAAAGTGGGTGGCCAGCTTGATTCCAAATAAGATTTGCACATACAGCCTCTGATTGAGAACGTAGAATTAGGGTAATCTAACTAGCCATGCATTCTTTAAAAGCCCAGCATATCTTTTCAGAGTAAGTTGGCTTCCATAGAAATGAATAAGTTTATTAAAAATAGAAAAAGTGCCAAAATGTGAGCAAGAAGGTGACCAAGGCAACAACCTACAAATACACTGAAATATTAATTAAACAAATAGTTCAAGAAAACAGAGAAAGGGAAAACATTATGCAACTAGTTTCTTGACACTCATGTTTGATTCTAAAACGTCGTCCTTATATTCTTTTCACGATGCTGAGCTGAAAATGTGAATAAAGAGGAAGGAAAGGAAAAGACAGGTTTTATTTATAAACGTGCAAAAATATAGCAACTTGCCAAATCCAATATTCTATTTAAAAATACCAAATAAACTTTTTTTTATCCTGTAACAAAATTGAAAACATAGTAAGAATTTTTATTTTATTTTATTTATTCATTTGAGAGAGAGAGAGCATGAGCAGGAAAGAGAGGGAGAGGGAAAAGCAGACTCCCCGCTGAGCAGGGAGCCCCATGCAGGACTCGATTCCAGTACCCCAGGATATGCTCTGAGCTGAACACAGATGCTTAATGGACTGAGCCACCCAGGCACCCCTGAAAGTGTAATAAGAATTTAAAGGAAATATCTTCAGACTAGTTTCACCACAGCCCTAGTTTTCAAAACATCTTGCTCAGTTTCTAGTAATCTATAGAAACTTGATATTATCGTGTGAAGTTAATGCAATAGTATTAATAAGACATGCCTCATGCAACAGATGCCGACGTCAGTAGCTCAGACAGTTGTCCAGAAGGAAAATGGCCTTCAGCACACCCGCAAGATGCTGCATATCGGTGATCCAAGTGTGAAAAAGACGGCAGTCTCCCTGCTGAGAAATTTGTCTCGGAATCTTTCTCTACAGAATGAAATTGGTGAGTCAGCAAATGTGTCTGGATGTCGCGAATACATATTGAAAATACAAATGCAAGGAACCATTGTCTTTATCACATTTTCTATAGTGATGAACCGAAAATGGGACTTAGGGGTGAAATGTGATAGACCTGGCTTTTGCATCCAAGCATCAAGGTAGGCTTTCTCCCTGGGTCTCAAATAGGGATTTTCTTAATATTCAGCATTTTTTAAATTGTTCTAATTACTATGGAAGAGAAATTAACAAGGTAGGTAACTTGTCTGATGTTTTTCAAAAGCCTTTGGCTCAGCAGTCGGTGGAGCCTTTTTAACCTGCGCAGTTAGTTCAGACTGAGTAAGCACTGCTCTTCTAAAACATGGAAAATATACACACAGTGGTCCTCCCTTTAGAAGGTTGGTCCCTGTTGCACTAGAAAAAAAATGGACGGATGTGCAAAAAAGGCAGAAAGGTGGAGTCACTGAATATATACCGAATTGGCATACATTTGCAACAGTGTGATGGAACTAGAGGGGATTATGCTAAGCGAAGTAAGTCAGTCAGAGAAAGACAATATCATACGATCTCTATGATAAGAGGAATTTGAGAAATAAGAGAGAGGAGCAAGGGGAAGGAAAAGAAAAATAAGATAAAAACAGAGAGGGAAGCAAACCTAATAATACACTAAAGCTATAATACACTATATGTTAGTTAAATTGAATTTAAATTAAAAACTTTTTTAAAGATTATTTATTTATTTATTTGACAGATCACAAGTTGGCAGAGAGGCAGGCAGAGAGAGAGAGGAGGAAGCAGGCTCCCTGTTGAGCAGAGAGCCCGATGCGGGGCTTGATCCCAGGACCCTGAGATCATGATCTGAGCCTAAGGCAGAGGCTTTAACCCACTGAGCCATCCAGGCGCCCCAAAATTTTTTAGATTAAAAAAAAATTGGCATAGACATTTTTAAAGTGAATACAATGAAGTATTTGCTCCTTTTTTGAGAGTCTGTATTATTGACAAAGATAACTATGTTACACTATCAAATAATATAATGTTTTGTTCCTTTGCTTTCTACACAGAAATGTCTGATGAATGTTTGAATTAAGTCAAATACTATAAAATGAGATAATAGGAAGATAACGCCAAAATCAATCATGTTTCCTAATGCTGCATAAATCAGTCATTCCTGATAACTCAAAATTCAGTTTTTCACAATCTTCCACTAAAATTATAAACAAATTATTGTTTGGTTTTAGTGGATTGGATTAGTTTGGAATACACACACAGACACACCACACCAGAGATACTGAAGTCTGGTTATGTTTTACTAATGTCATTTCCTAAGCCGGCCAGTAGCATGTATTGGACAGGCGGTTTCATAAATGGTTTCCTGCCCATTATAAATACAGAGAGAGCCTGGAAACTTTTCATGAATCTAAAAGAAACCTTGCCCTAGGCACTCTGAAAAATATGAAAGTGTTCTCCTCATTGTCCTTTGTGGACTTTTGTGCTGCACTTTAATCAGGTGTATTGTCCTTTGACTTTTTTTTCCCCCCAAAGGATAGATGGCTCCATCTTTAAACAGTGCTGATGGAGGTAACTGGCACTCAACCCATTATACACGTGCCTTCAGGGCAGAAATACTGTTGTTCCTGTGTTCTACCATCCTCTAAACTGTTGGAAAGATAGAAATGTAGCCCCACACTTTACTTTTTTTTTTTTTTTTTAATAAATAAACACTCTATTTAATTCTTCAGTTGAGCAGGAAATGGCCTTGGCAGAGTCAAGGTTTTTTTGCGTTGCACTACACTTAATGTTTATTTATTTTCTTTGTTTGCCTACTTTGAGTGAGTTCTGGCTTTGATACATTGCATCTCAAATTTTGTTGGCTCCCCTGGGTAATTATAATATTTATACTTTTTTTCCTCTTAATATTTAATGGCTTAACAATGTGACTTCTCTTCCCGTATTTGTCACTTTCAACCAGAAGCTAGATAAATGGAAAATCATTGTTTTGGATGGTTTTATTAAAGAACAACAACTTTAATTTTTTTAAAGATATATGCTCATTTAAAAAATTCAAGCAATTAAGAAAAGCACCACAAATAAAGCAAAAATACTTCCTCTTATCACTCAGAAAACAACTCTTGTTAACCTTAGGTGAATATCATTCCAGACATCTGTCTATGCCTATAAACAGATGAAAGTTTAGACAGAAAGATGAATAAATGATATTAAAATTGGATCGTACAACATCTAGTGGCCAATAAATCATTAGAATTAGTTTTAACAAAAGCAAACTGAATGACATAGAATCACCGAACTTTGGATAAATTTTTCACTACATTTCAGACATGTTTTAGAAACTGTGGGAACATGTACTCAAGTTTGTCTCAGTCCTGATTTCTAACTCTTGGCCAAACCTAGAGGAATGTCTTGATTGCACACGCAGCAATATTAGTCTCCTCGATTTCTAAGAGTTCCTCTTTTATAACTTGTGTAGACGTGCGTGTAACACCGCCTGTAAAAACATAAAATGGAAAGAAAGGAAAGAAGAAAGGGAAGGAAGGGAGAGAGGGAAAGAGAGAGGAAAGTTTCTTTTCCAATGTCTGTATTCCAGTTTGTCATTTTAGTGGTCCTCTTAACTAAAGTGCCATGTAAACTGTAGGGGATGCCCACTGAGCATTATAGGGAGGACCAGTGTTTTGTTAAATAGGTCTGGCCATGTCCTGTATTATGGAATAGCTCCAAAGGACCATTATGGTACAGTCGTATCAGAATTTATTATGACCGGCCTCATCCACATCCTCTCACTAATGAGGTAGTTTGCACCAAAAGTCTAGTTTTGTTCAATTTATTTTATGGAGCCTGTTATTGTAGTGAGGCTTGTATTCATAAAATTCTAATGAGATCATCTTTATTGGATTCTTCGTAATTTTTAAAATTTTAATTCTGGTGTAGTTAACATGCAGTGTCATTTGTTTCAGGTGTACAATGCAGTAATTCATCAAGTCTATACATTACTCAGTGCTCATCACAGTTATCTGTACTCTTTTTTTTTTTTTTTAAGATTTTGTTTATTTATTTGACAGAGATCACAAGTAGGCAGAGGGGCAGGCGGGGGGAAGCAGGCTTCCTGCTGAGCAGAGAGCCCGATGTGGGGCTCGATCCCAGGACCCTGGGATCATGACCTGAGCCGAAGGCAGAAGCTTTAACCCACTGAGCCACCCAGGCGCCCAGTATCTGTACTCTTAATCCCCTTCACGTATTTCATGCATTCCCCCCCCACCTACTACCCTTCTGGTAACCATCAGCTTGTTCTCTGCAGATAAGAGTCTGTTTTTTTAATTGCCTTTTTTTTTTTCCCTTTTGTTTATTTTGTTTCTTAAATTCTATTTATGAGGGGCACCTGTGTGGCTCAGTCAGTTAAGCATCTGCCTTCGCCTCAGGTCGTGATCCTGGGGTCCTGGGGTTGAGCCCCGTATCAGGTTCCCTATTCAGCACGGAGCTGCTCTTCCTCACCCTCTGCTGTTCACCCTGCTTGTGCGTGCTCGCTCTCTCTCTCAAATAAATAAATAAAATATTAAAAAAAAAAGAATTCCACATATAAGGGAAATCATATGGTATTTGTCTTTCATTGAGTGACTTATTTCACTTAGTGTTACACTCTCTAGTTCCAACCATGTTTTTGCAAATGACAAGATTTCATTCTTTTTTTATGGCTGAATGATATTCCATATAATACACACACACACGCACACACACACCCCACATTTTCTTTATCTGTTCATCTATCCCTGGGCACTTGGGCTGCTTCTATAATTTGGTTATTGTAAATAATGCTGCAGTAAACATAGGGGTGCATGTATCCCTTTGAATTAGTGTTTTCATATTCTTTGGGTAAATACCCAGTAGTGCAATTACTGGATAGTAGGGTAGTTCTATTTTTACGTTTCTGAGGAATTTCCATTCTGTCCTCTACAGTGGTGCACCAGTTTGCATTCCCACCAACAGTGTACAAGGATTCCTTTTTCTCCATATTCTTGCCAACACTTGGTTCTTGAGTTTTTTCTTTTTTTTAATTTTAGCCATCTGACAGGTGTGAGGTGATATCTCATAGTGGTTTTGATTTGCATTTTCTTGATGATAAATGATGATGAGCATCTTTTCATGTGTCTGCTGGCCATCTGTTGTCTTTGGAGAAACGTCTGTTCTTATCTTCTGCCCACTTTTTAATTGGATTATTTGGTTTTTGGTGTTGAGTTGTATAAGTTGTTCATATATTTTGGATAATAACCCTTTATCAGATATGTCATTTGCAACTATCTCCTCCCATTCAGTAGGTTGTCTTTTAGTTTTGTTTGTTGTTTTTTGCTGAACAGAAGCTTTCTCATTTGATGTAGTCCCAACAGTTTACTTTTGCTGTGTTTCCCTTGCTGCAGGAAACAGATCTAGAAAAATGCTGCTACAGTCAATGTCAGAGAAATTACTACCTGTCCTCTCTTTTAGTAATTTTATGGATATTTAGTCAATCTTATTTTTGTGTATGGTGTAAGGAAGTGGTCCACTTTCACTTTCATTTTTTGCATGTTGCTGTCCAGTTTTCCTAACACCATTTGTTGAAGAGACTGGTATTTTCCCATGGCATATTCTTACCTCCTTTGTCGAAGATTAATTGGTCATATAATTGTAGGTTTATTTCTGGGTAGCCCCCTGCTTTCATAAGATGATCCACTGATAAAACTCTACTCATTTCAAGGACAGTATCGAGAAGAGGTTCTGCAAGATAAATGCAGTTTTTAAGTTCCAAGTCAGCTTTATGTCAGATAAATAATTTGAGTGACAGGACCCATCTTGATTCAGAGTAGTCATAGCCAGGAATAAATGAAAATCAGTTTAAAATACATGAATCGTGTTTCTCATGAGAGACTTCTAGACTAAAACGTTCCATATGCTGACCTGGAATGAAATCCTCACGTATTACTTAGATTTACAGAAATAAACTTAAAACTTTTATTTTCTTGGGGTGCCTAGGTGGCTCAGTTGGTCAAGCATCTGTCTTCAGCTTAGGTCATGATCCCAGGGTGCAGGGATCGAGCCCCACATGCAGCTCTCTGCTCATCCGGGAGCCTGCTTCTCCTTCTCCTTCTGCCCCTCCCCCTGGCTCAGGCATGCACACTCTCTCAAATAAACAAATAAAATTTTTTTAAAAAACATATTTTCTTACAAATTTAAAGATAGGCACACTTGGTATGGTGACAGAGTAATAGAGCTCATGCAGAAGACACGGATCTGCGTCCTACAAGGCCACTTTGTCACTTAAACCACCTTGGCTAGTCATTGAACTGCTCTAACCAGAATGAGATTAATAATCACTACTTCATGGTGTTTTGACAAGGATCAGATAAAATAATGTATTTATAAGGAAGTATTTGGACACATCTTGAGATTCTCAATTCCCATTTACTCATATTTACAGATGTTTTCTTTTTTTTTTTTTTTAAGATTTTTATTTATTTATTTGACAGACAGAGATCACAAGTAGTCAGAGAGGCAGGCGGAGAGAGAGGGGGAAGCAGGCTCCCTTGCCGAGCAGAGAGCCCGATGCGGGGCTCGATCCCAGGACCCCGAGATCATGACCTGGGCCGAAGGCAGAGGCTTAACCCACTGAGCCACCCAGGCACCCCTACAGATGTTTTCTGACATCCAACTAATGCCTTGGCTTTTTAAGACATTGAGTTTAAGGATTAAGTAAAATCTCCCTCAAAAACATGACATTGAGCTGTAACTCTCCCAATAACATGATAAGGCCTTTAATTTTGTATTTCATTATTAAAGATCCCATTTTAATTGTCCCAAAATATATTTATCCAGGCCCAGTCATGTGTGTACGTACATAGGCATACATACATATGCTCTTTCTTCTCAGGTTTCTTTTGCTTATTTTCTTTCCTGATGTTACGTGTATGCCGTTATGTATGTATGTATATTACCAACCCTGTGAAGTCGATACTATTATTCCCCCATTTTACAGATTAAGGAAACGCGGCATGGAGAGGTTAAGTAGCTTGCCCAGACCACACAGCCACGGAGTGGCAGAGACAGGACTGAAACTGAAAAGTGTGACTTCACAGACTAAACTCTGAGCTCTGAACACTGTGCCTCGATGTTTCAACAACAGTGAAAACCAGAGCTCAGGTCTTTGAGCAGAAGGTGTGTCCTTCCTGTCAGTCAGGTCCCCGTATTATCAAAGGATGACAAGTTGCTCAGTCCTCCTATTGCATCTGTCTCTGTTTTAGACATAGCGCCCAATGCTAGAAGTCCAGGAGTAAACGTGATGATTGTCTTCAGGAACCCATAGCCGCCTTTGGAACTCAGACAGCACATGACTGAGTACAATGCAGTGCCCTAGAGAGAGGAGTGTGCTTTATCATGACACATAAACTCAGATGAAGAAACAACAAAACGAAGCAGAAGTATTTGTTATACAACCATGATAAACACAACACTGTATTAAAGAGTTGTGAGGAACAACAGGAGCGTGCTCTCTATCATTGAAGAAGGGTCCAAAGTAGTAAGAGAAAAAGAAGAAAATACACATGAAAAGAATCATTGCAAAAAATCAAGTATAAATCTATATTGCCTAAAATATATACCAATATATTTAACAAGTTACAGTCAAATCATCAAACAGTAATACCTCCTTTGTTACTACCAAAAAAGCCAAATTAAAACCCTACAACCTAGAACTTACATATAGAGTGAAAACATAAATTTAAAATAGTGTTGCTTTTTTTTTTTTTTAAATAATAGTATTATTTGTGCACTGAAGAAACTAAGCAGTACACATAATTTTTTTGAAAAATTTTTAGGTCACCATCAATACTATTGTCAAAAAACAAGTCATTAACATTTTAATGTATTTCTTCTCAGGTTTCTTTTGAATATTTTCTTTCCAAATGTTATATATTATTTTTTTAATATTTTATATATTCTTTATAAATAGCTGTACTTAACTTTCACACAGAATACTATATAAATATTTTATTATACATGTTTCACAAATATTTTTGAGATACATAATCTTTGCAGATGTGTTTTAGATAATCCTATTCCTATTATTAAGTTATGTAAGCTTTTTATAATTTTTCACTTATATATAGTACTATAATAAAAACCTCTGCATAAGGCTTTTTCTGTTTTTAAAGTAAATGTCTTTAGGATGAATTTCTAGAAGTGGAATTACTGAATCAAAGAATGTGAAAAAATTTTAAATTCTTGACACTTCTGTCAAATTATCATTGTCATTTCTGTCAAAAGATTTCCAATGTACTGAGAAGAGAATATCATCTTTTTGGGGGTGCTTGGGTGGCTAATTTGGTTGAGGGTCCAACTCTTGATTTCAGCTTACGTCGCTCTCAGGGTCATGGGACATTGGACTCCCTGCTCAGCAGAGAGTATGCTGGGGAGTCTCCCTCCCCCCACTCACAGGTCCCTGTGCCCACATGCACTCTTTCTCTCTCAAATAAATGTTTTTTAAAAATCACCTTTTAAGAATCTTTTTAAGGGGCGCCTGGATGGCTCAGTGGGTTAAGGCCTCTGCCTTCAGCTCAGGTCATGATCTCAGGGTCCTGGGATCGAGCCCCACATCGGGCTCTCTACTCAGCAGGGAGCCTGCTTCCCCCCTTTCTCTCTGCCTCTCTCTCTGCCTGCTTGTGATCTCTCTCTGTCAAATAAATAGAAAAAATCTTTAAAAAAAAAAGAAAGGTCTTTTTAAAATTTGAGTATCAGAGATTACGTCTTTCCATATGTTCATTAACTAGTTGTGTTTCTTTTAAAAATGTTCTTTACCCAAAATGTATTGGGATCTTGAGATTAAGGAATAATCCTTCTAATCAAATGTTGATTTCTTTCATTTTGTAGCCAAAGAAACTTTGCCTGATTTGGTTTCCATAATTCCTGACACAGCCCCGAGTACTGATCTTCTCATTGAGACTACAACCTCTGCCTGCTACACTCTGAACAATATAATCCAAAATAGTTTCCAGAATGCACGGGATCTTCTGAACACTGGAGGCCTGCAGAAAATCATGACCATCAGCTCAGCCGATGTGTAAGTCTTACAGTATCTGCCTGTTGGCTATCTCCCCATTCCTCACCATCCCTCCCATATGGAAATCTAGTTTTGAATGTCCACACATTGAGAACCATGGGTATTATGGCCCAAAAAACAAGACTGTAAAGTTGAGCCAGATCGTCTGGTTCAACTCTTGATAATCAAGCAAGTGAAAAACTGAATTCTCCAAGCCAAATAGTTGCCCATTCACTTCTAAAATATCCAGATAGTCAAACTCCATAGTTTCTCTGGGTAGTATGTGGCAACCTTTTATTGACCCAATGAATTAATTTGTTTCCTAGAGCCACAGCTGTGATTTAAAACCAGGAAAATATGGGTGCCTGGGTGGCTCAGTAAAGCCTCTGCCTTCAGCTCAGGTCATGATCCCAGGGTCCTGGGATCGAGCCCCGCATTGGGTTCTCTGCTCAGCAGGAAGCCTGCTTCCTCCTCTCTCTCTCTCTCTCTCTGCCTGCCTCTCTGCCTACTTGTGCTCTCTGCCTGTCAAATAAATAAATAAAATCTTTAAAAATATATATTTAAAAAAAAATAAATAAAACCAGGAAAATATAAGTAAAGTGGGAGTCCTGTGGGCAGGGACTGCCCCTTTCCTCACTTAGATCTAGAGCCAGTGTCACGCCCGGTGCCTTAGAAGAAACAGTGATAACACAAGAAGTAGGAGGCAACGTAATCAGAAATTCCTGCTTTCTCAGTTTTCTCTATCACATCTCTTCCATCTCTTATTCCCTTTTGAGAATAGGAGATCTAATTACAGAAGACATCCCACATCCCTGTTCCTGTGTCTTTAAATTTTTTCCATTAAAAAAAAAAAAAGGTGATAAAGAGAATGAAAAACCTTGTGTAATGAAATTAATTACTATTAGTTAATTTACAGGCATGGAATCCAAAGAGGGCATCTTTTTCTCTATTTATACAATTCTGAATTGTTTGAGTTGTTAAATATAAGTTACTTTTGTAAGTAACTAAGAAAGAGACGAAGTGTTATACCCCAATTCTAATGAGTTGTAAAGCACATGGACTTCACCCCTGTTAGACAAATGTGTGCCTGGCCCCATGGGGAAGCACAGGAGTCTGTGGGGTCCTGGAGTCAACACACATCTCCTTCCCCACTCAGATAGGCCCTTGTGCTCTGCAGCCCCATTCCCAAACCTCATGGGGAAGGAAGACCATATTCAGAGTCAAAGAATTAAAAGGAGTGCTGGTTAGAATGTCAGTTCACCAAGTCACAATATTCACCTGTCCCCAGAGTCTGGCAGAGAGCAGTTGCTCAGTCTTTATAGAAAGATTGAATGATTGCTATAAAACAGAAATGACTTTCGAGTAGTCATCCATGCTTCTAAGCAAATCTCCATAAGACCATATGATTTTTATTATTTGAGTAATCGGGCATTAAGAAGTGCATGAGAATATACCCTCACTTTTGGAAACTGCTTATAGCTTAGCAACATATGGGGATGTGCTACTCTGTTCTTTTTTGCCCTGAGTGTCCATTTGCCCGGGCTCAAAAATATATATATATCAACATGGAGCTTCTACCAGTTGTGCCTGCTGTTCCTTCCTTGCTAAGTGTTGTATAGCTGACCCGTAATTTAAGGGCTAGCCTGGAAATTAGTTGCCATTTATAGCATTTTTTTCTTTGAGTAAATGATTTCCAAGTGCCAAACAACCAGCTTATAAAGAAGCTGTGATATGAAACCCTTGCTATTCAAAAAACATTTTCCAGTTTTAAATATCAGAGACCCATAGCTGTCAAGGATTTATTAGTATTTCAGTATTAGCAAGTGACTCTGAAAAGACCATGAAGTACTAAAAAAAAATCTGTAAAGCGCTGATTTGATTTTCCCTTAATGCAAGACTGGCGTGGAAGAGAAAGGCTTTTAGCTAATGAATGAACTCCAGATGTGCTTTTCCATACCATATTGCATTTTCTGTTCATGGTTCCTTTTTGTAAACTCCTATGACATGAAAAATTAAATGTTTGTTTCTTTGTTAAAAGAAAAAACTCAGCTGTATGCTAGTTCAGGTGATGGAAGAGAAAGAGCTCTAAGGAAGCATAGATTCTTAGCCAGAAACAGGATGTTTAAGACAAATGTTTTGTTTTGTTTTGTTTTTATTTAAATTCAATTTAATTAACACATAGTGTATTGTTAGTTTCAGCGGTAGAATGTAGTGATTCATCGGTTGCATATAACACCCAAGTGTTCATTACTTCAAGTGCCTTCCTTAATGCCCATCACCCAGTTACCTCACCCCCCAACTCACCTCATTTTAGGACAAACTTAAAAGCAAAACATCAAAAACTAAGTATAGTGTCGAGGTACCTGGCTAGCTCAGTGGGTGGAACATGTAACTTTTGAGATCAGGGTTGTGAGTTTGAACCCCATGTTGGGTGGAGAGATTACTTAAAAAATAAAGAAGAGGGACGTCTGGGTGGCTCAGTCGGTTAAGTGTCTGCCTTTGACCCAGGTCATGTTCCCAGGGTCCTGGGATCCAGCCCCATGCTGGGCTCCCTTCTCCACCAGGAGTCTCCTTCTCCCTCTGCCCCTCCCCCTGCTCGTTCTCTCTCTTTCTCACTTTCTCTCTCAAATAAATAGTCTTTTTTTTAAATTGAAGGAAAAAAACTTAAGTACAGTGTCCAGTATTGTAGTGACTTGGATTTATAACGGGAGTACATTTTCCATTCACTCTATACAAAAACAAAGAAATTTGGAAGCTATTTTAACAAATATTTCAATAAGAATTTATTATATTAGCTTAAAAATATTACTCTTACTCTCGTAGAATCACTAAGTCAAGGAGGTAGGTATATTTTTCACTCATGCTTTCCCAAATTTGTATTCTACGTATATGCATTATAAATGTACAAATATATTTCTATTCTATAAATAGCATATATAATATTTAATATAAATATATTTAATTTATTTATTAATAGAATATAAATAAATGTAAATAATGTATATAAATATATAAATTGTATTCTATAAGCCAAAGATTTATGAAATCTAAGGATATATTCCTTGTAAATATCAGGAATATGCTCTATAAAAACTATTTGGCCTGTGCTAGTGGTTTTAAGATTTTTTTTTAATATATATATATATTTTTTTTTTTTTGTAAAAACCCAGTGTGGCCCCTGGCCTTCAAAGCTCACCATCTAATTCTCTTGTCATGGTGAGTTTCCTGACTTAATGGATGGCTGCCAAGCAGCAGCAGTTAGAGAAGATTTATGGAACGTCCAAAGACAGCATCCAGAAGCCTGACACGTTTTTCACTGATCTCGGAATGCCTTTTTCCTCTTTTCAGCTATGGCTCCAACAAAGCAAGTAAAGCTGCTTCTGTTCTCCTCTATTCCCTGTGGACGCACACGGAGCTCCATAATGCCTACAAGAAGGTAAGAACACTAAAAAGGTATGGGTTGCAGTTAACAACCACATCGTAATGGCCCGTTTGTCCGCCCCTGGCGACACAGCACTAAAAACTCCATTTTCTTGTATGAAAATGTTGTTACCTTTCACATTTCTGTTTGTTTATTCCAAAGGCTCAGTTTAAGAAGACAGATTTTGTCAATAGCCGGACTGCCAAAGCCTACCACTCCCTTAAAGACTGAGGAAAATGAAAAAGTGCTTTCAGAAATCTCAACCTCACCATTCTCAGCCACAAAAAAAGCCTCAAAGGAAAACGCCTATTTTTCTACTTCCCAGCCCAAGAAACCTCAAAAAAGCATGCCCTGTTTCTTAGCCTTTTCTATTTCCAAGGTCCCCAGAATCTAGAAGACACATAGGCAGAATATAATTTTATTAGTCTTCCAGAAAACTTTTTCAAGTCTACTACCAGTAGGCACTGGCAACAGCCTCGCTTTTACCCTCCACAGACTGTGGTCCTTGTGATCAGGATTCATGGTGCAGGGCCTCCCGGAACTGAAATGCGAATTCATGTGGAATGAGCATTAACAACAAACAAGGAAAGAAGGAGGCGGTTCTATTACCAGGATTTTAAAAGTTTGATTTACGCTTATAGTCCTTTTCTGGTTTCCATATTTTGTCACTCATATGCACATTGCTTCGCCATTGGCCACAAGTGTATTGTTCTGCAGTGTTGAAACAGAATGAAAACGACGAGAAATATTTGCAGGAGAAAATTTAATGGCAAAATTATATGTTTGTTTACTTTGTGCTTATTTTTATCCTCTTGAATTTTTTTCTCTGATTTGAAATGAACTGAAGAAATTTAGGTCACATTGAGTGTGCATGACTCTAAGAAAACGAAATTGAAATGAAGTGATCATAGCAAATTTAAAAATCTTCTCACAGAGAACAGCGACTATGGTTATGAAATTCCGTGTTCCCTCTAACACTTAAATATGAGTCTTGCTCAAGGAAATACCTAACCTATGACAACATCATGAAATGCAAATCTCTCCAGAATAGTAGGATTCATTACCCGGACTTTTTCAGCAACTTCAGTGGGCTGATAGAAAACAGACTCTATACTCTTCAGCTACAAAAGGAAATGAAAAACCTCTCAAACTGCTGCATGAGCCCAGGGCACTGAAAACAGCTCATTTAATAAATTACATTATCAATCAGCCCAACTTTGCCCAATATTTTAAAAATACCACCTTAGAGAGCCTCTAAATCTCATGTGATCTTCCTCAAGCCATTATTTTAAGTCAAGGAATTTAGCAAAAAAATGAAGACACTGTGTTAAGGAAAAATATGTCAAGGCCATGCAGAAATGATATGGGATATACTAGTGTTGAAAAATTGACATCATCTGTTGAAGTGAATCTGTTACAAGTGTTCTTTTAACTGAGCGATGATTAGTACCATTTACGTAAAATTAGTCTTCTCAACTACAGTTCTGTTATATTTTGCTTTAAAAAAAAAAAATCTGACAATGTTTGCTATAAGAAAGTAAGAAGGAAAAAAATCCTTCAGCTCCCTTTGGCCAGAGAAATGTAATAGAAAAATAAATGCCCATTTTCAAATTGAATGTGTATTTAAGTCTTTATTATATTGAGAAGACAAAATTCTTTTAATTTTAAGAGCTTGATGGAGAAGACTCAGAATACTAACCTAGTTCAAAATGAAATTGTTAGATACCAATTTTTAAATACTGAAGAGAAAAATCATTTCTTTTTCTGGAGTTTTGATGAATAACGTTTGGAACATTTTTTATTCCTCCACAAAACTGATGGATGTTCAGAAGTTTCTGTGTTCTTTAATGCATTAGTAGAGCCTTCAATATTAAACACAAAAGGAGGTCAAAATAATGTTGCCTGCATTGGTCTGTGTACATCTGATTTATTTCTGTATCACGGTATATGTGCTATGATTGACATGGCATTTGAAGATTTGACCTTATAAACTTACATTGCTAAGGGTTTAATACTTTGTAATTGTTTCTATTTCTTCCCTACTTAAAAGCCTAGATTCTTTACAAAGAAACAGTTCCTGTAAGAAAACTGGAATTAGCTAATGACTAAAGCATGCAACAATGGAGAGACATACTAATGTGGTAGATTTTAGTAAATTGAGTGGGTCTGTGACCCTGACAAGATAGACTGGTTTGATCCGCGTGTCCTGCTTTGTTCACTCTGCTTACTAAAAACCTCACTATTTTACTATCTTTGGATACCTCGGGGGGAGGTCCTTGTGTGTTGAATATCAGTTTTGATCTCAGGTCCACACAAAAAGCTTTTTTTTTTTTTTTTTTTTAATATATGTCCCATCCTTCCCCATGTCATCAGGAGAATTGACAAGCTGAGTGGAGCCTTTTTTGTGTATTTGTGCTAAGAGTTCCAAAGGACTGCTTCCTTGTCAAGAATTCTTAATGATGGTGTGGCATATGGGAGGTCACTGCCCTGGCTTTCTGTCACTGGAAACATTTGTTTATACCTGATGGAAATAACCAAGGGGTTATCTGGCAAGATAGGGGATTAACATGTCAAATGGGGAAATACGCAGCATGAGTAGATAAACCACTTTGAAATGAATTTAATCACCCTCTGAAGAAGCAATTTCTCAGAATAAAGAAAAGAAATAGGAAATAGACATATTTCAATATCTTTATATACCTATAATTTATTTGTACTGTATTATAAATGAAATTTCCTCTAAATAAAACGTGTCATGAACTTATTGTGCTTTGGAATGAGGTCAACTTCAGTATGTTTGTACTTCCAACAAAATTGCAGAAGCCTCGAATCATGGAATCTGAGGATTAGGGGGGAATTTAGAGGACATCTGGTCAAGTCCTTCTTAAAGTATTGAATGCGTCAGAAAAGATGCAGTTCTTATCAAAGTAACAAGAGAAAAATTTTCAGTCATTCGTTCAGCTAATGCTCACATGACCCTGTAATGCACCCATTTTAAGACTCAGTAACTGTTACATCAAGTTATTTGTTGTGGAAGAGAAAATAAATAAAAAAGGAAACAAACTTTTCAAAATAAAATCCTGCATTACATTTAATGTTTTAGTTTGTAGTGGTACTGACAACTTCATCTCTTAGGAAATAAACTTCAACCTTTTAAGGACAGTAAGAGAAAGGAAAACTCTCTTTTTATGATATATTCAGGAAAGAAAGATCAAAATGCTCTATGTTGGTCAAAGAGCTGTTTAAAGTATGAGAGGAAGGGAGAGCATTCTGAAGCCATCTGGGAGACACACGTAAAGAATCCAGCAGTAGTGAGCCTGGAAGAAAGGTGCCATGTTACCTGTCTTCAAATATCTGAAGGACCTTTGTATAAAAGATGACAGTCTTATTCTGAGTAGAGCAGAGACCAGGGCCAATAGGTAGAGGCTTGTGAGACTAGCTTTGACTGAACAATAGTGGACATATATTTGAGCACTCCTCACAGCCTCCTCATGAAGGATACAGTTTTTCTTTTTTCTTTCTTTTTTTTACATTTTACACATGAAAATAATGTGAAGTAGAAAGAGGTCACCTTCCAAAGGAGTACAGCCAGAAATTTCAGGGATGCCATAGAAAGTCAGGTGGGATAGCTCCTCACAGGGTCTACTTGGAGACCAAAGAATGGAAGACGTGTCTCCATGCTGGGGCAATGTGGGGGATCTGTTTGGCTTATCTCTCTCTGGAGAGTTATAAGGGCAGTCTGGCATAATGGTGAAGAGGACTGATTCTAGAACCAACCAGTCTGAGCTCAAAGTGTGACTTCTCCTTTTTAATAGCTGGAGTGAGTTTCTTACTTACTCTGAGTCTCAGCCTTCTTTAGCTGTTAGGTGGGAATGATAGTAGTAGTTACTTCTACTGTTGGGTTGTTTGAGGATTAAATGTCTTCTTAATTGTAAAGCACTAAAAACAGTCCCTGACAGTATGTACCCAACAAATGCTAACTACATTACTTGGAGTTCCCTGGTTTGAGGGTTCTTTGCTCTTTTTTTCTACTCCATCTCTTGAGTTTCTCTTTTCAGATATGGTTGATTTAGTTAAAAGCCTCAACCCCTTCCCCCAGCTACCCATTTTACACACACACCATCCCTTAGAAGGCTAGGCGAAAAAAAGAGGAAAAAAAATATGGCCCAGTCAAGTGATCCTGAATGTCTCTTCCTCAGGAAACGAGTCTTTTGGGAGGTATTTGTAAGTGTTAAATGAAAAGAAATATCCCCAAATCAAATAAGTTTGAGAAGGGCTGGATTATACAGAGATTGATTACAAGGCTTCTCAGAGTCTCTAACATGCACTATGCATTGTGAAATAGCCCAAGAACGGGAGACTTTTATTTGAATCAGTACAGCCTTTTTCCCTAGATGACTCTTGAAGCTGTGCTTCTGTTGTGGGCGCTGTGATCTGGGCCAGAGCCAGGAGGACGAGAGGCTTTCCTCTGCTTGGCAGCCTCGTCCAGTTCATCTCCTGAGGCCTGGACTACTCAGAAGCCATACCTGGGCTTAGTCATGATTTAGTGAAATCAGAAAGTCAATGATTTCAATAGATTAAGGACTGGTTCCTGAGTATTTTGTTTCTTTCCCACCTGGAGTGTGCTCATCTACAGGCAAGAAAGCAACTCAGAAGGCAGTTAATAGCCCTGAGGAGCATGTTGAGGCAGCAACAGACATCCCTACATCCAGCTGATCAAACCCTGTCCTAAATCTCACGTCAAGAAGCAGTTAAATCTCTCAGAGGCCTGACTTTCACCGTAAACTACTAACATACAATCCATCTGGTAAGGAACAAAAAACAAGTTAAAACTTGCAGATTTTCCTACAGCTGTAATTAAGATGTTCTTCCCAGGAATAAGCAATCCTTTGGAGTTTTGTTTTAGAAAAAAAGGAGGAGTTCCACTTTCAATTCTCTTTCAGCGTACATGTATTGAACGTTTATTCCTGGAGCTGACGACCAGTGAGATGCAGCTTTGCAAGAAAGTGCTCACACATCTGAGCAAAACAGATGTCTGTGTGATGGAAACTTGTACAGTTTCAGTATCCTTTGTGGTATCTGGAAAATGAAAAGTCATCATCTCGTTTCCTGGGAAATGAACGTCGTCATTCTACAGGGTGAGAGTTGGGGAGCTCTAGAGCCACACAGACCTTCTGGAATAGGTCTCTCATAGAACAATGGTTAGCCTGAGAGACAAAGAACTAAAAAGAACATACCTGCATTTTTAGCCAGGAGGAGTTGTCAGAATTGATATCCTTTACTAAGAATGTGTGAAAAATTTAATATTTAGAAAATTAACAAAGATTTTTTTCTCCAATTTGTTTTACCTCTTGCTCTAATTGGAGGTTTTTGCAGTTCCTAATTGAAAAAATAGAAGTAATCTATTTTTGTGGTATTGCTGAACAGCTCTTTATAAGAATTATGTGTGAACATACTAAGTAGCACATTGCCACTTCTTCTGGTGGCTCGTACCTAAAGTGACCCACTTCCTCATCTCATGGTTCTATTTCTCCTGCTTTGGTTTATCACTTAAGATGCTTCATTTGCATTCAGGTAACAAAAAAGTTCAGCTCAAGTGGCTTAAACAATAAATGTATTTATTTTGTGTAACAGGAAGACCAGATTTAGGCTCAGGCTTGGTTATTCCAGCAGCTCATTGAAGTCACCAAGAATCTAGATTTCTGGGGATCCCTGGGTGGTTCAGTTGGTTAAGCATCTGCCTTTGCCTTGGGCTAAAGTCATGACCCTGAGATCAGGGATAGAACCCTGCTTCAGGCTCGCTGCTCAGCTCTCTTGCTCTCTTGCTCACTTTCTCTCAAACAAATCTCAAATAAATAAAATAAAATAAATAAAATCTTTCTCTCAAACAAATTTTTAAAAAATATTTTATTAATTTATTTGACAGAGACAGTGAGAGAGGGAACACAAGTAGGGGCAGCAGCAGAGGGGGAGGGAGAAGCAGGCTTCTTGCTGAGCAGGGATTCCAGTGTGGGGCTCAATCCCAGGACCCGAGATCATGACCTGAGCCAAAGGCAGACGCTTAACGACTGAGCCAACCAGGTGCCCCTAAATAAAATCTTTTTTGAAAAAACATCTAGGTTCCTTCAGTCTTTCTGCTCTGCCATCCTCGGCATTTTTGCTTTTGTCCCCTGGTTGATTTCTCCATGTTGACTAAATGGTTGCAGCAGCTCCAAATGTGTCACCTTTATAGGCCATGTCTATAGGCCAGAAGAGCAAGCAATCTTTTCTTGCATCCTTTTTTTTTTTTAAGTGTTGTTTTAGTTTTTAGTTGGGTTTTTTCTTTTTTGTTTTTTTTTTTTGAAGATTTTATTTATTTGAGAGAGAGAAAGTGAGAGAGAGTGCATGAGAGGGGCTAAGGTCAGAGGGAGAAGCAGACTCCCCACTGAGTAGGGAGCCCAATGTGGGTGGGACTCGATCCCCAGACTCCAGGATCATGACCTGAGTCAAAGGCAGACATGTAATCAACTGAGCCACCCAGGTGCTCCACTTGCATGCTTTTTTTTAATAAGTAAAGAAAAATTTCCCAGAAGCCTCCATCAGATATCCTCATTTTATATTGCCCGGAATTCTTTCACCTGTCCCTTCTTAAATCAATTCCTGGTGAGAAAAATGAAACTACTGTTCCTTTCTCAAACCGATCACATTTAACCCAAGGCTGGGCCTACCTCCACTGAGAGGCAAGGGTGGGGAACACTTGAACAAAGCCGGGGTTTTATTGAACAAGAACAAAAGGGGCGGCAGAGTAGTCAACCAACACCGCCTGCCATCTGTAAGGACATCTGAAGAAGAAAGAATTTACCTTTTTTTTTCTTTTTTTTTAAGAATTCAACATTTTTTAGCAATCTGACTTCATTTGGCCTGTAGGAGAAGTGTTGTCTCAAATGCCACAGGACAAAGGACAAGTGTGTCTGTTGCATTGCATTTAGGACAAAGTCTGTGAGGGTTTGTGGATGAAGAATGATGGAAGAGTTGGGAACTGCAGTTAAACCAATAATCATGATTTCGAGGAGAAAAATGAAGATGATGGCCAGCTGAACAGTAAGGTGGAATAAAATCATTTTGGAAATACTGTGCCTCTTTTTAATTTTCGTGACATCTACCATTCCTCACCTTTAACTAGTAATTATGGACCCCAAGTTTTACCTTCATGGACCACATCATCTTAGAACATCAGGCCGGAGCCCGAGGTATCTGTATAATCTCATTTCCTCAGTGAGACATCAATTTGGCCAGTAGACACAGCGTGGACTGGAATTCTGACTTTACCCTTCCCTGGCTGCATGACTCTGGGGAGTT